AAAAAAAAAAAAAAGTAGCTGGGCAACATAGCGGGTCCCTGTAGTTCCAGCTACTTGGGAGGCTGAGGCAAGAGTGTTAGGTTGCTGTGAGCTGTGACTCACCATACTCTACAGTGGGCCACATAGTGAGACTCTGTCTCGAAAAAAAAAAGTAATAAAATTTATATTTAAAAAAATCCTTAACCGTAGAAGAAAAATAGCCAAGAACTTAAGGCCCTCTGTATTTCAGCCTATCTATGGAATGATGGCATTTCAGAGACCTGAGTCTCCATTCTTTTCATTTTCAGTCAAATTCATAAATTTCTCTTTCCATTTGTCCTTCTTCTGATGTGGCTTCAATGGCAAGTGCTGAGATTTTGGTAATAGGAGACCCTAACAAGAAACTTTGTCAGCTACTGATACCATATGAATAGCCAAGAGCCAGCTAACCCAGGCAGTATTAGGAATTTGAATCTGGGATACACAAAGCATATTATAGGAATTTCTGTGGATATGTCACCATATTGTACCTTCTAGACAACTTGGAAACAAAAAGCTTAGTGATTATTCTGATGAGAAAGGAAAATCTGAATTGACTTCCTTCCCAGAAGAGATGAGAGTACAGTCATTTGAAATGGTCATTGAGGAAGCAACTACAGATTGAACAACAAAACAGAACTCTGATGTTACCAAAACAGAAACAGACTGGGTTCCTCTTGAGTTGTGCTTTTCAATTCCACTATTTAGTTCTGAATTAAATGAGAGATTTTGTAGGGAAACTGCTACATGCAACATTTAGAGAAAAGACAGCTTTCAAAAACTCTTGCTTTCCATGAGTCTCCTACTTTCGAGACTCTTACGGTTTATATGTCCTTGTTTAATCATTCTAGGAAGTTGCTTCAATCCTACATATCAGCCCAGTTTTTCAAGTTTTCTTTATCATTTTATGTTCTACTTCCTACAAAGAATGTAATGTTTAGAGGTAACATCTTATCCAAATGGGGAGAAGGTCACCTTCCTCACTTCTCACTGCACGTCTTCATTTACAATGACATAATTTGTTATTCATGATGTGTAGTTGTTTTTTTTTTTAATTTTAGATTACTATGAGGGTACAATTAGGTTACAATGTTTGCATTTGGTGGCTGAGGACCCTGTTGTAATTGTGTCCCTCACCCAGAAGGTGTGCCATATACCCTTACATTGTGCCCATGAGATGAAAGCACACCAACTCCCTCCTTCCTCCCCATCTCCTCAACTTGAATTAAATCAAGTTTTCTCCTGTGTGGGCTTGTATGAATTCATCTACTGGCTTCATATTAGTATTAAATACTGTGTGTACTTGTGTTTCCTTTCTTGTAATACTTTGCTAAAGAGAATGTTCTCCAACTCTATCCAGGTTAATATAAAAGATGTAAAGTTCCCATCTTTTTATGGCTGAGTAGTATTCCATGGTATACATATACCACAGTTTATTAATCCATTCCTGCGTTGATGGGCTCTTGGATTGATTCCATATCTTGGCAATTGTTAACTTGAGCTGCAATAAACAATCTAGTGTAAATGTCTTTATGATAAAATGATCTTTTTCTTCTAGGTAGATACCTAGTAATGGGATTGTGGGATCAAATGGAAGGTCTATTTTGAGTTCTTGGAGAATTCTCCATACCTCCTTCCAAAGAGGCTGTATTAGTTTACAATCCCACCAACAGTACAAAAGTGTTCACTTCTTTCTGCAACTGCACCAGCATCTTCAGGATTGGGACTTTGTGACATGGACTATTCTCACTGGGTTTAGGTGATTTCTTTTCTTTTTTTGCAGTTTTTGGCTTGGGCTGGGTTTGAACCAACCACCTCCGGCATATGAGGCCGGCACCCTACTCTTTTGAGCCACAGGCACCACCTGGTTTAGGCAATATTTCAAGGCGGTTTTCATTTACATTTCTCTGATGATTAGGGATGATGAACATCTTTTCTTTTTTGAGACAGAGCCTTAAGCTGTCCCCCTAGGTAGAGTGCCATGGCATCAGAGCTTACAGCAACCTCCAACTCCTGGGCTCAAGCAAGTCTCCTGCCTCTGCCTCCCAAGTAGCTGGGACCACAGGTGTCCACCACAATGCCCAGCTATTTTTTGGTTGCAGCCATCATTGTTGTTTGTCAGGCCTGGGCTGGATTCCAACTTGCCTGCTCAGGTGTACGTGGCTGGCGCCTTAGCCGCTTAAGCCACAGGTGCCGAGCCCATTTTCATTTTCTTGTTTTACTAGCTACACTTATTATTCATGTATTAGCACACTCAGCCTACTGTAACAATGCACGCCTTAATAAAGGACTGAATATTTGGGTTTTTTTTCTTTTTTATTGAATGGTAACTATGTACATTAATGCACTTCTGGGGTACAGTGTGGTGTTTTCACACACAATCCGAAACACTTCCATCAAACTGGTTAACATAGCCTTCATGTCATTTTCTTAGTTATTGTGGGGATTGAATATTTGTAATGGTTGTCAATGAACCCAGTTGTCCTTAGATTTAGAACTTAAAATATGGGAGTAATTTGCTGCTCTATTTCCTTTGAGCAACAATGGAGGGAAAAATGAAATCTAACAAATATAATAGATTTGAGGTAAAGCATTGAAAAACCATATATCAATTCTCGTTTCTCGTGTAAAAATGTAAATAGTAATAATCCTCGGATATCCACCTAAACCTTTTTTTTTTTTTTTTGAGACAAGAGTCTCATTTTGTCATCCTAGGTAGAGTGCCATGGTGTCACAGCTCACAGACACCTCAAACTTTTGGGCTCGAGCGATCCTCTTGTCTCAGTTTCCCAAGTAGCTGAAACTACAGGCACCTGCCACAACGCCCATTGTTTTTTACTTTGTAGAGACGGGGGTCTCGCTCTTGCTCAGGCTGGTCTTGAACTGCTGAGCTCAAGCAATCCACCCACCTCGGCCTCCCAGAATGCTGGGATTACAGGCTCACACGAGCCACCGCGCCCAGCTGTAAAATGGAGGCTAAACCGGTCTTCCTTCTTCTTCTTCTTCTTTTTTTTTTAATTCATTGGCCGGGTGCTTACAGCATAGATTTCCAAATGGCTGTGCTCCGGTCTTCCTTCTTCTGCTCCCCAAATGCGTATGTTTGTCCCGGCCACAGGGACCGGGGACCCAATTATTGGTTGTTTTCGCGTCAACGATCCCTACAGGACCATCAGCTCCCGTCTCCACCTCCTGACTCCCTTTCTCATCCCAGTGCTGCGCACACACTTGCCTGGGCCCTACTCAGCCTTCTCGCTTGCGGGGTACTGCCGGAGTGTTCGTCCCGAGTGAGGGCGGGAGGAGACGCTTGGTGCTGGCCCCCCGCTCAGGCCTCAAGTCTCCCGGCGCCCAGAGGGCTAGGCGGGAACCCCTGCAGCGCCCTGCAGCCTTAACGGTTGCCAGGCCACCTGCTGCGGCAGTCTGGATTGGCTCGTTCTCCTGGCAGCTTTAGCCAATCGGCAGTGAAGCTGGTGGGAGGCCCCGCCCGCGGGCCAGCACTGTCTGGGGCCGCTGGTGCTTTGCCAAGTGTGGGGGTCGCGGGCTGGGCCCATAATGGAGGGAGTAAGCTCATACCCGACCACGCCTCTGAGACGCTAGTAGCTCGGAGTGGGAGGCAGAGGCGTGTGTGACCCTGGACGAGACTTCCTCTTTTTGGGCATCAGTCTTTCCATTCTCACAGTGGGGTTGCCTGAGTTTGTAAGGCAGAGGCGGGGAGGATAGAGGAGGCGACCCTTTGGGGGAACGAAGAGGTAAACGCAGCAAATCCGTCCGGCGGAAATGGAGGTGAACAAGGGCCAGAGAGAGCCCCAGGTGGGCCCGCCCCCGAGAAAAAGCGGTGGCCGGAGGGTCAGTTGTCCTGGGGGGCGGAGAGGAGGGCAGGCCCCGCCCATCAGGCCCCGCCTCCGAGGCTTCTACCGCGCCGCCGCCCGCAGGCCGCCACTGCAGCCCCGGGCGCCGGTTCCTTCGCATCGATCCTCGTCAGCGTTCCCTGGACGCGCCCTCCTTCCTCCGACAGCCACAGCCGCGGCACCCTCGTGTTCTCCCTGCGGCCCGGTGAGTTCCGCCCGGCTGGCCCGGTGTCCACCGCCTCCGGAGCTGCGCGCTTCCCGCCCTTCAATTCCCTCTCGCCTTGCCTAGTTTGTACTTTGACTGACTGTCCTTTTTTCCTCTCTTCTCTCACTCTTTTTCTAACTCCCCTTTGTTCTTTCCCTCTTGTGTTCATTAGCTGTAACTTGAGCCTCCATCCTTCCTCTCCCTCCCCTCGCCACTGCTCCCAGTCCCGCCTTAGGGTGCGGGCCTTTGGCGCGTCAGCGATAACCACATTCTCCGCTCGGACCGTGTGCCCCCTACGCCTGTTGGGGCTGTTTCTGCTGGAAGGTGGCTTTGAGCTGCTCGATGCGGCCTGTGCACGGCCGCTCCCTGCCCCTCCAAGCCCTGGAAAGTGGGTCTGGTCCCTCGCTGATTACCAGCCTTTGTTCCCTCCTGACCCTCTCACAACCCTCCCACTCACCAGAGTCTGATGAGCTTATCTCGAGTACTGAGTGTTACAAAAGCAGAACATGGAAGAGAGGCGATTTCTTGATACTAGGACGGGGGAGAGATGGGCCCTGTTCCGCACCTCCCACCAGGGCAAGGACTGATTGGGCTTGTGTGTTTTGGGCATGTAGCCTTTTCCATGCTGGAGTTGGTCCTTTAAGGTGGATTTCCCTTTCTTTCTTTTTTATTTATTTATTTATTTTGAGACAGAGTCTCACTACGTTGCCCTCGTTAGAGGGCCCTGGCGTCACAGCAACCTCAAACTCTTGGGTTTAAGCGATTTTCTTGCCTCAGCCTCCCAAGTAGCTGAAACTGCAGGCGCCCACCACAAGGCCTGGCTTTTTTTTGTTGTTGTTGTCATTGTTATTTTAGCTGGCCTGGGTGGGGTTGGAACCCGCCAGCCCTGGTGTATGTGGCTGGCGCCCTACCCGCTGAACTACAGGTGCTGCCCTGGATTTTCCTTTCTAAACTGTCCTCCTTTGCCCTTCCCTCACAGGACACATAGTATGATCATTAGGTGTCTCTTCTCTCAGCCATTTTCTATGGAAAATCAAGGGGATCAGCCCATGATAGCCACCGGCAGCTTTGAAGAATGGGACGCTTTTAGAGATGCTTGATCTTGGATACACCTCAGTGTAAGACCTTAGAAATCCGGGTAAGTGTCCACTTTAAAGGAGAGGTGTCCTGCTGCCTCCTAGCCCCGGTGCTCTAAGGGCAGGAGCCAGCTGGACATTAACAAAATAACAACCACTGCGACACCAATGAAGTTCACAAAGCACTTTTATACATCCCTGTCTCCTTCTGGCCTTTAAACTGACCTTGACAAGCCATAGATGATGGTTCTTATTTTATAAAGGAGGAAACTAAGGTCCAGGTGGACTGGTGATTGGCCTCAGGCCCTCTGGGAGTCCGCAGTAGAGCTAGGACAGGAACATCTTGTTCTCGCTTCATATTGCTGACTCCAGCTTTTGACTGTCCCTGAGATTGAGATTAGTACTCATATGTACTTTATGGGCTCTGAAACTGGTTAATTCAGGACTGTAAAATATGATCAGCTTTTTCTAGACCTGTGTTTTACTTAGGATAAGTGACCTTTGCTCCCATACCCACCCCTATGAAGGACCCAACTTTATGCAAAATCATGGCAACTGAGCCTCTGTGCACTTCCAGCTAGATAGCAATTGGGTATTTTTTTAAAGACAGAACCTCAAGCTGTCGCCCTGGGTAGAGTGCTGTAGAATCACAGCTTACAAGCAACCTCCAACTCCTGGGCTCAAGTGATTCTCCTGCCTCTGCCTCCCAAGTAGCTGGGACTACAGGCACCTGCCACAATGCCTGGCTATTTTTTGGTTGCAGCCATCATTGTTATTTGGCGGGCCTGGGCTGGATTCGAACTCACCCGCTCAGGTGTATGTGGCTGGCGCCTTAGCCACTTGAGCCACAGGCACCGAGCCAGTAGTTGGGTCTTATTTTGGCCTTCACAACACCCTGCAACGCAGCTCAAAGTCAGGCACATGATAACCTCATGTTTTCATATCTCTGATGCCCAGAGAAGGGACATCATTTGCCTTAACTTTATCAGAACTTTTTGTGTGGGAGAGTTTGCTGTTTAATTGGCATGAGAGAACTTTGTTTTGTGAAAAGCCTTGCCTGTGCCTGGGTCTGAGAAAACAGTAAGAAAGAACTGAGGAGTTGGGTAGCAATTTAGCATCATTGATTTTAGAGTCTGTAGATGTGGCCCTTACTAATTTCCTGCATCTAACAGCACAGTCACTTTATAGGGCTGCTCTGAGGATTAAGTGAGCTAATACGAGTGCCCTGGGCATTGGGATGGGGAAAAGTGTAGAGAGGAAGAGGTATCAGAATAGCCAAGCTGGGAAGTCTGGGAGCACCTTTGTCAACTGTTCTGCCATTTGAGCATGTTTTCACAAACCCTCAGGTGAGCCAGGATCCAGAGAAATGAATAAGATCAGGGTTTGCCTTGTAGGTGGTCCCAATGTAGTTGGTATAGTGCTGTATCCTATTAATTTCCCTGTTTGCTCCGGCCACCTGGAGTGAGCAGCCCAGGAGGAAGAAGCAGGATGAGCTATTTCCACGGGTCTCCATACTCATAAGTGATTCCTATCACATTCTCTCTCTACCAAGCAGTTCTGTCAGCAACAGGGGCAGCCAATCAGGTTAGCCTCAAAGCAGCTGTTCCTACAAAGTCTGAAGCTCAGGGGAAAGAGTAGGTCACCCTCCCCCAGTGGCATGCTGGGCTCACTTCCTCTCAGGGCAGTGGAGGAGGGTGTTGTTCTCTAACACGAGAACAAAATGGAGCTTTTGGTTTCCTGTATCACTTTTCATAGCCCTAACCTGCATATCCCCATCCCTGCCCCTCTCGTGAAGGTACAGATTCCCCTGTGTTGGAGGAAAGGAAACTAGCCAAACAGTAAGCCCAGTTTGCCAGGAGGAGTCGGGCATATCAGTGTTTGCTCTTAGCTCTGAGAATCACCTAGCAAAGGCCCAGCTAAATGTTACCTTGTTTAAGAGTCTTTTCTGGCCACCCATTCTTCCTTAACTCTCTCCTGATGGAATTAGTTGTTTCCTGTGCATTTTGAGAGTATGTCCTGCAACCCCCAAATGCAACTTGAATCACCTCTCCATAAGTCCTGTCTAGGGCAGGTATCTCTTGTGTTTCAGTGAATCAGTGCCCAACAAAGCAGTCTTATTCAAAGGATGACTCTGGAGAGCCTGAGCTGTAGGGGCTGGGGAGAGAATTATTGATAGGCTGGGTGTCCTCTTGTCCCTTCTTTTTCATTCTAGACCCATAGGAACTGCTCCTGCTTAGTAATGTAGGACATAAGGCTATGGATCTGTGCCTGTCAGGTCTTGGTGTGCCTGAAACCTTTTCCCACTTCCATCAGCCCCCACCCCAGATAGGTCCACAGAAGCAGAAATGTGCAAATCATCAGAGAAATCTGCACCAGAGCAGACAAAGGTCTGGTCTAGTGGCTGTTTGTAAGACAGAATCAGGATTGCCCTGAGATCCAGACTCTTCCTATTGTGAAAAGGAAAGAGCCCCTCACAAAATATCTCCTTGAGCAAGAATTGCTTCTCTAGACTCTGAGTACTTCTGGAGCTTACTCCTTTTTTCCCTCATAGGGCCACTTCCCTGCTTAGGGATGTGGTGCTATCAGAGGAGCCACAGGTGAGAGTGGTGAGTAAGAAGGGTCTGGAGACACTGTTGCTGATGGGCCTTCTCTCCCCTTGTTAGACTCCGGCAGAGTTCCTCTATCTCGTCTTACTGCTGATTGAGGGTGCCCATTTCTTCAATTTTTCTCCATCTCCTGGGAGGTAGCAGGAGATCAGCATCATGGTTGGGTTCAAGGCCACAGATGTACCCCCTACTGCCACTGTGAAGTTCCTAGGGGCTGGCACAGCTGCCTGCATTGCAGATCTCATCACCTTTCCCCTGGATACCGCTAAAGTCCGGCTGCAGGTGAGGGGATGAAGCCTGGGGATCTTGAAAGCATCTAGTCTGCACAGACTCCTGGAAAGCCAGTGAAGTGTTTGGGACCATAAACTATGGACAGTGGGGTGGCAAGTGGGGAGAGCACTCTGCCTATCCCTATAACCACACTGTCTTGGCCTTGTAGATCCAAGGAGAAACTCAGGGGCCAGTGCGTGCTACAGCCAGTGCCCAGTACCGTGGTGTGTTGGGCACCATCCTGACCATGGTACGCACTGAAGGCCCCTGTAGCCTCTACAACGGGCTGGTTGCTGGCCTGCAGCGCCAGATGAGCTTTGCCTCTGTTCGCATCGGCCTCTATGACTCTGTCAAGCAGTTCTACACCAAGGGCTCTGAGCGTGAGTATGGAGCTGGGCTATAGGAGCCCTGGAACATTTTTCTTGGTGATGATTAACCTAAGTTCATTTAGCTAAATAGCCCTTTTAGGCCCCATGATCCCTGGGAAGGTCAGAGGAACAGAATTGAAAAGGGCCCTGATTCTCCACATGATTGCTAAGTACCTAGGCTATTCCAGGCACTGAGCGGGGCATCATCCCAAGACCTGATCTCTCACCACAACCTTGGGAATAGGTGTTATCATCCCAGTGTTACAGATGAAGAAGAGATTGAAGCTTGAGGGATGGCAGGGACACTGGCCAAGGGCACACGGGGGAAGCCAGAAAACATACCCGAGACTTGCCTCCGAGGCTGGCATTCTTGAATTTCACCTCCCTAGCATGCCACACCAACCCTACATTTTACACATGAGGAAACTGAGAGCCCCAGACAAAAGATTGACTTTCCCAAGATCCCGTGGCAGGAAGAAGTAGATCTGGGATGAGAACCCAAGTTGTATGAGTCCCAGTCCATCAGAAAGCCACTTCTCTCTGAGCCTTGGTTTTTACATTTGTCAAATAGAAAAGATTCTGATTTCTCAGGACTATTGAATGCAGGTTAAATGAAAATGTTTTATGGAAGAAAGCACTAACTCTCATTTAGGTCTTACTTTGCTATGTCCCTAGCAAGTAGTAGACATTCACAGGGATATTTTGTTTGTTATGAGGAGAAGTTAGAGCAAGAGCTTGTCTGGACCCTGTTGCCAAAGGCAAAAGATTACAGTGACAAGGTGGTTTGGGAGAGGAGAGATGAAGTGCAAGTCTGCTGTCCACTGACCCCCTTGGTTTGCCCTCAGATGCCAGCATTTGGAGCCGCCTCCTAGCAGGCAGCACCACAGGTGCCCTGGCAGTGGCTGTGGCCCAGCCCACGGATGTGGTAAAGGTCCGGTTCCAAGCTCAGGCCCGGGCTGGAGGTGGTCGGAGATACCAAAGTACTGTTAATGCCTACAAGACCATCGCCCGAGAGGAAGGATTCTGGGGACTCTGGAAAGGTGTGTGGCAGTTGTTTCCTCTTCCTTCCGTTCCCCTGCCCTCCCCTCCCAATTTCCCGGTCTCACATAGGCTCTCCTTCCTGCTATAGGGACCTCTCCCAATGTTGCTCGTAATGCCATTGTTAACTGTGCTGAGCTGGTGACCTATGACCTCATCAAGGACACTCTCCTGAAGGCCAACCTCATGACAGGTGAGTTAGGTTAGATGATGCTGAGTCTCACCTTGATCCCTAATCTAGGAGCAGATAGAGGAGTCTGATTGACACCTGAAGACCACAACTTTTCATTCTACTTGCCCTTTGCTTGGAGAGTGAGAGTATATCTCTTACTTGGCATACTGAAGCCAATTGGGATGGAGCTCCCACTTTGCACATTGAGGAACTGAGGTGGTACTAGGTTGGCAAAATAACTCTCGGGTGCTCAGAAGAGGTCCCAGCTGGAGTGTCTTTAAAGTTATGAGAACCCCTAGCTACTTAAGTAATTCTCTTCTCTTCTGGAATGGTGGGTGAGGAGACTTGACTTTGTTCACTGCTCCTCCTTGGCAGATGACCTCCCTTGCCACTTCACTTCCGCTTTTGGGGCTGGCTTCTGCACCACTGTCATCGCCTCCCCTGTCGACGTGGTCAAGACGAGGTACATGAACTCTGCCCTGGGCCAGTACAGCAGTGCTGGCCACTGTGCCCTTACCATGCTTCAGAAGGAGGGGCCCCGAGCCTTCTACAAAGGGTGAGCCTCTGATCCACCCTATCCAAGTCTAGGCCTTCTGGCTATCCATACCTATCATAGGTGGGAGAGAACCAGCTGGAAATGAGTAGCAACCAAGTGTTAATCTAGTTCTGATCCTGGTCCTCTTATTTCACCAGCATTTATTCATCCTTTTAATTGCTTCCTCCCAGAATTGCTGTTATCACTATTTATAAATGTTAAAGTGGGAACTCAGAAGATTTAGTGCTTATAGCCACACAGCTGTGAAGCCCAGTTCATTGAGTCTTACCACCCTCCTCTGGGACAGAGCAATTGGGTTGGATTGGATACCTGGCCTAGTAGGGGAAGCGGGAGATGGAAGTACCCCCAGTGATCTGTATTTTCTCTCCCTTAGGTTCATGCCCTCCTTTCTCCGCTTGGGTTCCTGGAATGTGGTGATGTTTGTAACCTATGAGCAGCTGAAACGGGCCCTCACAGCTGCCTGCAGTTCACAGGAGGCTCCCTTTTGATCCTCTTGTGCTGCTGACTTGATCACCTCTAGGCTTTGCCTCCAGCTCCAGCCAGGCCCTGTTTCCCTTTTCCTCTTTCCCTCTTTCCCTTTCCTCCTTCCCCACCTCTTCCCTTCACTCCTTTTCCCCACCACCTCCCTTTCCTCACATTCTCATCCCCTTATCTCCCCATTGTCTCTCAGTGCTGTTGGAGCTGACCCCATTCAACAGCATGGGAGGATCCCAAACCCCTAGTTCCTTAAAAATACTCAGCCCAAGTTTTCTCCTATCCCCAGCCCAGCCTGCATGTCTCCCATAAAGCAAGCTCAACCTTGGTGTCTCCTCCCTCTCTTGTAGTTGTTACCAGAGGTCTTGTTCCAGTGGGCCCTTTCGGCACTTGGTGGGTAGGGGAGGAGCCACCCAACTATGAACCCGGTATGACCTACCTCCAGCATTCAGTCTGAGGCCCATGGAGGTCATCTATTCTAGACCATTTCTCTTCAAACCCAGGCCCTGGACTAAGGTGGCTGGTGCAGGGGCAGCAGGAGAGACAGTAATAGCTTTACTCTCACTTTTTCTACCCTTTAAACCTCCAATATGGCCCCAAGCCTGTTTATCTTCACATTGAGAGTGCTCCTGTTTGCCCTTCATGTCCTGCACATCTCAGAAGATTCTTTTTTTTTGTAGAGAAAGAGTCTCACTTTATCGCCCTCCGTAGAGTGCTGTGGTGTCACAGCTCACAGCAACCTCCAACTCTTGGGCTTAAGCAATTCTCTTGCCTCAGCCTCCCATGTAGTTGGGACTCAAGGTGCCCGCCACGCCTGGCTATTTTTGTTGTTGCAGTTTGGCCAGGGCCAGGTTTGAACCCGCCACCCTCGGTATATGGGGCTGGCGCCCTACCCACTGAGCAACAAGCACCACCCAACATCTCCGAAGACTTAAATGAGGAACTTTGGAATCTTAGATGCTGTGGACTTAGTTGATTACATTTTAAAGATAGGAAACCTCTAAAGTCCCAGCCTAGTGAGAGCAAGTCAGACACTTACCCCTTCCACAGTCACCCAGAAGAGGAAGTGTTACTGAGCTGGGTGGGGCAGGGCCTGACTCAGCAGAGGTAGGTTTTAGGCTACAGAGCAAACAGAACAATGTCTGCTTTTTTTTCTTTTTTTTTTCGTTTCTCTATTTAAAAATATGGAACACTTTACGAATTTGCATGTCATCCTTGTGCAGGGGCCATGCTAATCTCTGTATTCTTCCAATTTTAGTGTATGTGCTGCCGAAGCAAGCACATCTGCTCTTTTTTTGTTGTTTTTGTTTTCTTTAGAGACAGAGTCTCACTTTATCGCTCTTGGTAGAGTCCTGTGGTATCACAGCTCACAGCAACCTCCAACTCCTGGGCTTAGGTGATTCTCTTGCCTCAGCCTCCTGAGTAACTGTGACTACAGGCGCCTGCCACAACACCCGGTTATTTTTTGTGTTGTTGTTGCAATTTGACTGGGAACGGGTTTGAACCCCCCACCCTCAGTATATGGGGCCAGCGCCCTACTCACTGAGCACAGGCACCACCCAGGATACTTTTTCTCTTTGAAGTCTCATTTTCTCCCTGAACTAGGGGTCCCAAGGAGGAGGGGACAAGCCAGGGCTTTGCTTGCACATGGGTCTCAGCCTCTCTGTCCCTGTTCTCTCACCACCTGCCCTGTGGAGGCAGGAAAGCAGGTGGACAAGGAGGACTGAGATCCCAGAATCCTGAGGCATCTTGTACAGGGTTGGGCTATAATGAAGTCATCCAGCCCCATAGATTCCTGAAGAAGCTGAAGCCTGACGCAGATCATGTCGGCAAGAACACCCAGAAAGTCAGCAGCTGGAGTAGGACTAAGACTCTGTCCTTACCTCTGGGCTATCCCCCAGGGACCCGGTCTTGGCGAAGCCTGCAGCTATGAGCAAGGCTCAGAGTACATGACCTCCCTCTTCCCCCAGCCTAAGGCAGCTGACTACCTTCCCTTGCTTATTAGCAAATTTGTCAGAGCTAGATGCTAGACCCTTTGGCACTTAGGCAAGAGGGCCAGGGTGTTAGATGGTTCCCAGTGAAGGAACAAGGGCCTGAGATTCCTCAGCTTCCTAGCTCTTGACAGATTGAACTGAGACCTCATAGTCCCCAGGAGGGACAGGGTTCAGTCCCATGAGGCATCAAGCTATGGTAAGATGACGACAGGTAGAAATAGAATAAAATAAAAAAAAAAATGGCTCGGTGCCTGTGGCTGAAGCAGCTAAGGTGCCAGCCATATACACCTGAGCTGGCGGGTTTGAATCCAGCCTGGCCCACCAAACAATGATGGCTGCAACCAAAAAATAGCCAAGTGTTGTGGTGGGCACCTGTAGTCCCAGCTACTTGGGAGGCAGAGGCAGGAGACTTGCTTGAGCCTAGGAGTTGGAGGTTGCTGTGAGCTGTGATGACACGGCACTCTACCCAGGGCGGCAGTTTGAGGCTCTGTCTCAAGAAAATAAGATGACAGGCAGCCTTGCCAGGCTGTTTTCTGCTCGGCTGCAGGGAGTTGGCCTAAATGGAAGCCCACATTAATCCCTGAGGCAGGCTATTAACTGTTGTACAGGAGGGGTCACTTCACTGCCCAAGTATGTCTGTCCTCAAAGCTAAATAGGCTAGTGGAGGTGAGCAATCCTGCAGCTGGTTTATTTATCAGCTTTTGTGTCCCAGGCCCTGAGATGGACACAAGGCCACCAGATGGTCATTGTTCTGGGGATAATGAGCTGGGAAAGGTAAGAACCACTGGTAAACATAACAGTAGGTCCTGGTATGTTTAGGGACCATAAACATATATAAAACAGGCATTCTATAAAACAGGCATATGAAATGCCCTGCTTTGCCTGACAAGGTGGCACTAGAGACTGCTGAGGTAACAAATGTCATAAAGGTCTTCCATAGAGCCTGAGCCCAGGCTTCCCTCAAAGCCTCTCTGTAAGGAGTAGGCCTTGCTGCCCCAGAGAAATCAGAATTTGATAGCACATGTGCCTTCACCTATTTGCTCAGAACAGGGCAGCTACCACCTGGGCTGTATCTTAGACAAAAAAATCAGCTTCACTTGGCTCAGCTCCTGTAGCACCGTTGTTACTTTGCCAGCCACATACACCCAGGCTGGCAGGTTCGTAACCCCGCCTGGGCCAGCTCAACAATGACAACTGCAACAAAAAATACCCAGGTATTGTGGCGGACACCTGTAGTCCCAGCTACTTGGGAGGCTGAGGCAAGAGAATCACATAAGCCCAGGAGTTTGGGCGGCACCAGTGGCTCAAGAAGTAGGGCACTGGCCCCATATGCTGGAGGTGGTGGGTTCAAACCCAGCCCCGGCCAAAAACCGCAAAAAAAAAAAAAAAAATCCCAGGAGTTTGAGGTTGCTGTGAGCTGTGACACTATGGCCCTCTACCGAGGGTGACAAAAAAACTCAAAAAAATCAGCTTTACTCATCTGGTTTCTACAAAAGGCCTATAAGATAGGGAAAGGTTCGGGGCAGCACCAGTCCCATATGCCAGAGGTGGTGGGTTCAAACCCAGCCCTGGCCAAAAACTGCAAAAAGAAAAAAAGGTTGGGTGTGGTAGCTCACACCTGTAATCTTGGCAATCTGGGAGGCTGAGGCAGTAGGATCACTTAAGCTCAGAAATTTATGACTAGCCTGAGCAAGAGTGAGACCTTGTCTCTACTAAAAATAGAATAATTAGGCTCGGCGCCTATAGCTCAACCCGCTAAGGCGCCAGCCACATACACCTAAGGTGGCGGGTTAGAATCCCCAGCCCGGACCCACCAAACAACAATGACGGCTGCAACCAAAAAATAGCTGGGTGTTGTGGCGGGCGCCTGTAGTCCCAGCTACTTGGGAGGCGGAGGCAGGAGACTCGCTTGAGCCCAGGAGTTGGAGGTTGCTGTGAGCTGAGATGCCACGGCACTCTACCCAGGGGGACAGCTTGAGGCTCTGTCTCAAAAAAAAAAAAAAAAAAAATAGAATAATTAGCCAGACGTTGTGGCAGGCACTGATGGTGCTTTTGGATGGTGGAATTCTAAACAATCTGGATATTATGGTGCCTTTCCAAGTACCTCTGAAACTACTCCATAGAGTGGTCACCAGCTCTCCATAGGTCTGGACCTGTCCTTGCCCAAAGTCAGACTTGAGAGAGGAAACTTTCCGTGGCACAGAAGAAAGTGACCCACTGAGCCACAGGCATGGCCCAAAATGTTTTCTTCTTGTGCTTTCCTTTCCTGTCTCGATAATGTGACCACAGAAGAGGAGCATATACACTGCTCTAGACTCTAAAGGGGGCAGGTATGGTCTACAATAGGCCCAACTAGACCTGGAGGCTAGAACTCCAGACCACATTCACAGCAGTTCCATCACACTTCCTGAAATCTAAACAGTTCACCAAGCACTTTCACATCAATGACCTCACATAATCCTCAGAAAAGAAGACTGTGAGGTGGGAATGAGCTCTGCTTTTCTGACGACAGCAATCACTGGTCCAAGGCAGGGCTAGGGGCTGCCTCCTAGACCACCCTGCTTAGAGAGCTCAGGCAACGTAATCAAGACCAGAGAGGTAGAAGCCAAAGATGTTTCCAGTGCTTCTGTTCTTGGCCTCTCTCATCTAAGCAGGGTGAATCTGCGGGAAGTGGCCTTCAAGGTTCAGATGACAGCTTTGCTACTGGGCCTCAGTGACATGCAACAAATGTTTTCTTTATTTTTTGTTTTGGTAGAGACAGTTTCACTTTATTGCCCTCGGTAGAGTGCCATGGCATCACAGCAACCTCCAACTCTTGGGCTTAGGCGAGTCTCTTCCTCAGCCTCCTGAGTAGCTGGAACTACAGGCGCCTGCCACAATGCCCAGCTATTTTGTTACAGTTTGGCCAGGGCTGGGTTCAAACTCACCACCTTTGGTATATGGGGCTTGCGCCCTACCCACTGAGCCACAGGCACCGCCCACATGTTTTCTTTTTGTGGTTTCATTTTCCTGTCTCAATAATGTGACCATATCACACTTCAGAGACTGTCCTTTCTGTCATGAAAAGTTGTAGCAGAGCCAGGGACCCAAAGAGGCCATACAGCCCTGCCCTACTCTACTAAGGTGGGAACACAGACTGAATCCTCAGGGGCCCAGGTGCTGAGCTCTTTGGCCCCTGCTCGCCCCTTAACCCCTCAAGAAGGGTCGGTATGAAACTCCCGTCCCTCCAACACACCTTGGTATAGCTGGAGGAAAGGAAATAGGTCTTTATTACATCAGTTTACCCCATGTCACCCCACCCTCATGTCACATCAGTGCAGCAGGCTGGGTCCCCTGCACACCCTGAGGCTGTAGGAGCCAGAGTAAGGCCTGGCTAGCCTCCCCACACCCCTGCCCTAACCCTTAGCCCACCAGTTATGTCAGCAATGCTTGGCGCAGCAACTGCTTCTTTTGGGGTGTAAGGCGGTTGGGGAACTGGATGTCAAAGAAGATGAAGAGGTCTCCTTTCTTGGTGGGTTCTTCAGGCAATGGCATCCCCTCACCTGGCACCTTCTTGAAGTACTTAGGACTGAGACAGGAAGACGAAAGAAGGGAGCTTAGAAGTCACCCCAGAGTGGTACCTTAACAGGTCCCTGCACCCCTGCTCACATAACCCCAGCAAGGGAACAGACTACAGCCTCCACTTAGAAAGGTTCTTATCATCCAGAACTGTGTGGGAGAGTGGCTGGCTTGTTCCAAACAGCCTGCTCCCTGAAAAGCCTGTTTATGCTGAGTCTGTGATGGAGGATTCTGGAAATCTTGTTTTATGGGAAACAGGGTGAAGAAGGAAGGTAAGCAGACCCTGGGAGGGGGCAGAGGGCCTTTCTTGGAAAAGGACTTAGGGGATGATGCAACTCAAAGCTCTAATGAGCAGTTTGGAGGATGGAGGCAACAAGGGTTACCCAACCCTGGGGGCCTCTAGCCCCTGCAGCAGTGTTTGAAAATCAGATGGCATCCCTTTTGCGAGATGAATATAACCCATAGCCAGGCCAGAATGTGAGCTGGGTTTCAGTCCTCTCTCACCCCCTCAGAAGGGGTCCCCTGTGCTAGGTGTAGTGTGCACAACTGTACCGGGCAGACCTGTCTGACACCATGTGCTATGTCCCAGGCCAGCCCTATTCTTGGCTTTTGGGGCCCAATGAAGATGGACTCACTGCACGATGTCATTGATGGGGATGTTGAGCAGACGGTCATCTAGGGTCTTCACCTCCACAGTGCAGCAGGTGAGAGCCTGGGAAAAGTTAAGAAC